GGAGCAAGACGCCATGCTGGTGGACATCGAAGACTTGACCCGGTGAGTGCAGCTTGCCCTTCCCACAGGGCAGATGCAGCCCTGGTGCTGTGGGGATGCAAAACCAGGCAAGAGGGACTGTCCTGGGGTGAACCCTCCGCTCTGCTACACCAGTTCTCCAGCTGGAGCAGGAGCCAGTGTGCCTCCTGACCAAGTGCGTTGCTTTTCTAACAGCCACCCTGCCCTGGTGATGGATTATGAATGCACAAGAACTTCTTATACCCACCTGAGTCAGGTCAAGGGTTTGGACCCAAGAGGACTTTATCCTCAAGCACTGTCCCTCGGGGAGTTGGCTCTAAGCCATCCCATGCTGGCGTGTGGCCTGGGCAGGAGCAGCCTCAGGTGGGTGCCACTGGCTGGTCAGTGCCCCGGCTCATGATCGCCTCCGCCATGCTCAAAGGGCTGGGACACAGGCTTCTCTGCAAGTGGCACCAGGGCCACCAGATTGTCCTCTCCATGTGGAAACCCCAGGACTTGAGTTTCTAACTGGGCTTGGCTCCAACTGCCTCTCCTTAAAGCGTGCTTCCCTGCAGGGGGAAGAAGAAAACCAGGCTCATAGAGACAGAGAGTGTTGGCTCTTCACACACTTCTTAGTGGACTAGCCTAGCCTAAGGTGACCAGATTTTAGCATTGGTAAAGCGCGGGACACCATTGATAAAACTCATATCCCAGCAAAATAGCCACATGGCAGCCGAAAACCGTATACTCTAGCTTGTCGTGCATTCTTTCCAAAAATCGGGACTTTTTAAAAATGCCACGGGATGCGGGAAAAATTGTTACAAATTGGGACTCTCCTGCCAAAAGCGGGACATCTGGTCACCTTAGCTAGCCCCGTCCCAGCCTGTAAAGCGTGGGCATCCTGCAAAGATGCCTACACTTCCGTACTTGTTCCGCACAGCGCGGAGGAAGTCCTGAAACCAGGAGGTGACAATGACTATTCACCGCAGGAGGTTACTGTTCATCCCAGAGAAGTTATTCAGGGAGCACAATGCTCCCCAAGAAAGGAAAGGGCCCTGCTGGTCACAGTCCCATCAGGAGTGCAGGGCACGTAGAGCGATTAGAGCCAGCCCTCCGAGAATCATGGACGCCTGGGTGGTGAGAATTCTGCTAGCACCTCACTCAGGATCTCTTCTCAGTGTGTAGAACAGGGTGGAAATGTTTTCTGATGACCCCATGTTATCAGAAATATGTGGGTAACAAAATAAAGGCTGCCAAAACTCCGTGTAGGCTTTAAAAATTTTAAGACCCAGAGGTTGCACTCTGCTTCGCATGCTTTAAATATCATCTTGCTGTTCTCCGCATGAGGTGGGGTGGGGGTGGAGGCAAACAAACAATAGGCTTTCTCTTACAGCAGATTTACCTGCATCAGCAATAAGATTATCGCCATCTACCGATGTATCTGGGTACTGCACCAACCACCATAAGACCCCCTTTTTTACTTCGTCTTAGAAAATGGGGTATAGGTGTTAACACTGTGCAATATGCAACTCAGGCCTGCACCTTCAGAGACCTACATGAACTCTTTTTTTAATTCTGTGACTTGCCCGGTATAGCAGACGTCTTACTCTGCCCCACGAAACACGGCTGGTGTTCTTCCTCCATGGAAACTGCTGCCAGTCGTTCCCATCTCTCAAGGTGTCAACCGATTATTTAGGCTAACGGTGTTTCTTCATACCTTTCGTAAGGTATGCTCATGGCGAACAGAGCACAAAATGCTATGGAGTTGAAAGGAGAGGAGTCACTCATTTAAAGGTATTGGAATAACCCTTTAAATTGGAGCAATTGATTTGAATCAGTGGGCAGATAACAACCTCCCTTCAAGGCTTCTGGTGCATGGGAAGAAGCCTGTATTCCTGGTGTCAGAAAACTCACTTTACTAATCGGCTGACCAGGGGCAACTTAAAACTCCATAGCCAGATCTCAGAACCCTGGAAACTCAGCTGTAGACTGTTGGGAAATTTAATTGACCTCTTCTCTTCACCTGCCTACACCGCTCGTTCCAGGTGTCAGTTCAGATCAGTAGTTATCAGTTTGAGCCGCACACTGGAATCACCTCGGAAACTGCTAGAAACTGATGTCTGCTGCCAAACATTTAGAGAAGAATTGACACCAGTGCTGTTTAAAGTCTTCCGAAAGATGGAGAAGGAAGGAAACTCCCAAATTCATGCTGTAACATAGTCATCACCCTAATCCCCAAACCAGACAAAGATACTGTGAGAGAACTACAGGCCAGCAGCTCCTGTAAACAGAGATGCAAAAACCTTGGGCAGAATCTAGTGCACGGACCCCAACAGCACAGTACAAGAGAGTCATCCACATGACCAAGCGATACTCACTCCTGGAACGGTTCCACATTGGAAGTCGATCCACGTGGTATGCTGCACCGTCAGTGGAGGAAAGGACAAGGACCTCAGGATGACTTCTGTGGGTGTAGAAAGCACATTTGATAAAACTCAACAGTTTCTCTTTTTAAAAAACACTTTTACTGGCACATAATCCACATCGTTTATAATTCAGTAATTCATTAATATAAAGAATTATACCCTAAAAATGATTACCACAATCTATTTTAGAACATTTTAGTCTTTGTTGTACTAATTGTTATTAACTCCCCATTTGCTCCCAGCCTCCCCTGCCATGCCCCAAAGAAACTATTAATCGAGGTTCTGTCTATATAGATTGATCTATCCTGGATTTCCTGTATAGAAAAACATACCAAAAAAGAACAACAACTGAAAGCTAACAGCAATTACAAGTAAAGCAGAACAACTTCAATCAAGAAGAAAGTAGAAATGGTCAAAAACGTTGGAACAACTTTTACTGAGTCAAAAGGGAGATCAGATGATATTACATTTTAACCTAACTATAGCTGCCATAAAGGAGTGCTGGTGGCATAGTGGTTACGTGTTGGGCTGAAAACTGCAAGGTCAGCAGTTCGAAGCCACCTGCTGATCGAAGGGAGAAAAATGGGGCTTTCTATTCCCATAAAGAGTTACCGTCTTGGAAATGCCCAGGCGCAGTTCTACCCTGTCTTACAGGGTCTCTGTGAGTCAGAATCCACTTGGTGACAGTGAGTGTACCTGCCTTGTCTGATAACAAGCCTATTCACGTCCCTCAACTATGATACAAAGGCATGTACCTGAGCCTTAATCTGTGTGTGGATCCTGCAAATGGGTTCCGGGCTTCCACTGCCCTTCATCCATCGCCTGCTGAAAAACAGGTGCTGACAGTTTTAAGTTTTGCTACCACTTCCTCCTTTGGATTTGGATTATATATTTATAATCCTTGGATCACCAAGGCTGGTGTGCTTCCTCCATGTGAATTTAATTGATGCCTCGCTTAGGTGGTTGCTTGTTTGAAGCCGAGTCTTTAAGACCCGAGGCTCTATTCTTGCTGAGCTCTGAGCATCATTTCTTCTCCACACTTGGTGATACACAGCAGGGCCATGTCATAAGAATGGATTGTTCTAAGATTGGGGCTAGAATTAAGTGCCAGCCCCAAATCCACTCCCTATACCTATGGTTTATCTATGTCTCTGGTTCTCTTTAGAGATATCAGTGTCGTTTTATGTCAGAGAACATTATCAATCATCTTCCTGAGGCGTCAGGTATTTCTAGTGAGTGTCATTAACTTAGCTGGTGGCAGAGAATTTAAAACACAGCTGAGCAAAGGAAGTGATGCAGGTGTAGGCCAGCTGTAAACCACAATGCACGAATTGTTGACTCATCCTGGACACTGTCTACACAAACAATGGGGGTTGGTGGTAGGCCAAAACTTCCTATATGATTCACGCACAAAGGCAGAGCCATGCCCACCAGATTAGTACGTGACATAATAAAGCAAGGAGGGTGTGAAAATAGTAAGTCTATGGTAATAATCCCAGACCATCCTTCACTGGGGACCTTAAAGCAAGAGACCCAAGCCACTGTCCAGCTAGCATCAGCTCTATACCTTTGGGATAGCAGCCATCTGCTGCTTCTCACACTAGGGACGTTCAGTCCCAAGT